CAACTGCTTTTCACTCAGGACTGCCAATCATGGTTCATTTATAAATACAACAACTTACGTACTATCCATAGATAGCGTTGTGAATCCTGAAGAAAGTTCTTCTTATCCCATCGAATTCTTGAATTCCATAGATATGCCAGGAATTCCGTCTCATAAACTCGAGCTGAAAGTTGGTGTTCCCGTCATACTCATGCGGAACATTGCTGCGCCGAAACTATATAATGGGACCGGACTACGAATAACTAAACTTGGGGAAAATATCAAATTATTACGGGATCTTTCAGAGGCGAAAGCGTTCTTATTCCAAGAATCCCCATAATCCCAAATGATTTGCCATTCCAATTTAAGAGGCTCCAATTTCCTGTAAAATTAACATTCGCTTTAACGATCAATAAAGCTCAGGGCCAAACGGTATCAATTGCAGGTCTCAATTTAAAGGACCAATGTTTTTCACACGAACAACTCTACGTGGGATGCTCACGTGTTTAGAGCAGAAAAAATATGCATATTTTTGCTCATGGTGGACTGGCAAAGAATATAGTTTACAGATCAGTATTGATTTTATAATGAAAAGTACGCTAATAAACTATTTTATAGTGGATATACGTATTAGTTTTCAATTTAAATTAAAAAAAAAAAAAAAAAGCTCAAAGAATTAGCTAAACAATGTTTTTACATGGGTTCCACAGTGGTATCAACACTAACACAATTTACCATAGAAACATCATTATGATGCATCCAAATATCATGTAGGATACCTGGAAAAAAGTTTACGGGTGCAAAAATGGAAACGAAAGGGCGAAACTGAGAAAATAATGCGTCGAAATTTTAAAGGGAAAGAAAAAAAAAATTTTAAATATTTTTTTGATTGGAAAACATAGAATTTAAGATGATAAGAGAGAATCAATTTTTTTTTTTGATTGACCCACCCCAAAAGCTATACAGCGAATGCTCATACTTTATGCAAATACTTTTGGACTATATTTGATCAATACCTCTGTCATTAATATCATTTTTCATTTTTGGAACATTATTTTTCGGCTACTTAACGATGAAAATTGGCAACTCTGTTGAAAAAAAAACATATGGTTCTAAATAAAATATCATCTGTAGTTGAATTTTTGCCTAATTGCCACGGTTTGTAATAAATGCCAGACTGCGCTTTGTTGCGGAAAATCAATGATTTTTTAAAATTACACAATGAGCAATGCGCATGTATAAAGATACCGACGTCTATTATCATAATGAACACGAAGTGTGGGTAATTTGCCTAGTTTGTAACATTAAGAAAATGTTCTTATAGTCCAATTGTAATTGCAATCTTATCTGAAATTTAATCATGAAAAAAAAAGATAACTAAAAATGACCAACATAACCACAATAAAAGACTTAAACCAGTATAAAATCAACACCATGGTCCGAACCGAACGTCGATCCCAATAATTTGGGACAGGCGACTATTTTATCCTCGACTCATGTAATTATTCCAAGGTACCTTCACGAATTCATTCAAGATGGCTTTGCATACGTTCGTTTAGAGTGTCGTCCGGAACCTGTACCTACTTGCAATCCAGGCTGTAAAGAAATAACGGATGAACTGATGCCTGATCTGAATGCTATTGATTTACTTTCATATTTATTATCGTAAAATTGAACCTTACATCATGCCTTGCCAATCACTTTGTATAACTATTATTATGCAATCACCATTTTGCAATGATAGTTCATCAATCTAAAGCCACATTTGAACGTTCCAGAAAACCCACTTTTCTCCAGTTTTAATGAATTAAATCCAAAAATTTACAACGCGCCAGAGAGCTGAGCTAAGTTGATTTTAAACCTTTTTTACAGATTTTCTTTTTGTGTTTTAGTTTGAACTTATTTTCGGGACGACGCGCATGATTGAGAATGAAATTACTCGAGTTTCTCGGGAAATCCATTTATCATAAGAAATTTGGCAACATCAAACTATCCACGCCTGGTTTTTTTTGCCGCATGGTTGCCTGTAATGTACTGAAAGAGATAATGAGTCTAGAAAGTTCTATCGATCGAATGATGTAGAAATGGTGTGTGCAGATCGAAGATTAAGGCGCCTTCAATTCGAGTGATACTTCTAGCATATCCGTGAAGCTAGTTTAGTTGCTTGACCTAACTTAACCCAAGCGGACGCTGTTTCCATCGGTTCCCGAGCTTTGTGGCCGGTCAGAAAAATTAACTCGGACAAATTCGATGAAAGCAATGACAAAATATTTATTTGGGTGATTTCACGATAAGAGGAATAGTCGTGTCGCCGTGGGTTATGAACGACATAGGGCAAAACGATTGAAAACCAAATGAATAAATCAATAGAAATGATGTCCCTGAACCTATCCATGCTAAAAAATATGATAAATAATCATTCTATTTAATAATATGAGACTTTAAAGGCCGAAAATGTCCGGTCGGTTACATGTCGCCGACCCCGATTTTGAAGCAAAAGAGCAATTTGCGGTAACAAATCAGTACTGATCATGAACTGTTTGGCAATATTTGCTGAAAAGAGACTCTAATGTTCAAGAAAATTGCCAGTTTGAACTGAGATATTTATTATTGAGCGAGAAAAGTCATTAGAAAGAGGTGTCACCACACTTGGCAACAAATTTTCGCAGTTGTATTAAGTGCAGTGTTTATTTCGCCAGATGGAGTCAGGAGTTTCAAAACTGCCATCAAATTGTTCGCTGAAGTTTTCTCGACAAAACCATTACTGATAAGTCAGTTTTTTTCCAATAAAAAAATTATTATGAAAATCAGTGATTTTTAAGTGCGTAGCACTAATTCCTCACTACGCAAAAACCTTAATTTAATATTATTAAACTAAAAGGAAGTCTCCAAAGTTTACAAAACTTTTAAGGCCGCATTAATTCCACCTCATAACTCAAGAATTTCCAATTTATAATCTTTTGTATCATCTTTTATCTCACATTTTCAAGTGTCGGTTACGTTGTGTCTGTTACGTAACCGACACGATTTGGCAGGGCCGCCATGTTTGCGTGTACCTCCAGCAGTCCCGCGGGAAGCGCTGATACCTGATTCAATGGCTTGTTTATCAATCACTTTAACTTTGCACTGACTCAAAATAAAGCGTGCCAAAGCTGGAAAAAGGAAGTTTAATACCTTTAAAATGAGGTAATGAAATCCTGTTAAAATTGGTGCACTTTTATTTTTAAGGTATTTCACATTTTAACTATTCCTGTTATCGTGAAATCACCCATATATTTTGTCATTTTTCCGCAAAACGAACTTACAATCCAAAAACCCAAATCAACGGAGGTTGCGGAGATTATCAGTTTCTAAGTTAAAGGTTAACTCGCAATACTCAGGGTCTCGCGAAGCGAGACCAGGGCCGGCTTATTTTAAATAAATCTGTCAGCCATTTTTTTCCTTGCATTCATTAACATTAGTTGTTCAAGTCAAATTGCCGTCAATTAGCTATCGCCGGCAACTTGCAATTTATTTTTTGTGTTGAATGGAAAACATGTAATAACTTAGAAGTAAAGAGACTGGATATCAGTCTTGCACATGTTTTTTTTTTCTTGAATGTATGGTACCAGGCAGCGTACTCGCGAGTGCTTGTAGTGAAATCGGTGACCTTCCATGGATCGGTTCGAATAGGCATCTAAACTAACTGCCTGGCACCGCGGGGGGTATCACCAGGATTAGAAGGCGCTCTAACCTAAGTTTGTCCTTTTGAAGCTCTTGGTCAACAAAACCTTTACTACGTCAATGCGGATCATCGCCTTTTTTTAAAAAAATTATATAGCATAAGACGCGTGTCGTTTGCAAATTGACGACTGCCTACACAAAAAATATATCCATCTAGCTTTCATCACAATTTTTTCCCTGATTGTTGTATACTGTCTACTATATTCTACAGTGAACCACTTGACAACAAACAAATTTAAGTACTCACATATTTGTTCCTCATCAACAATTTACGTAGAACATAATTTGCGTAACGGAAATTACTGGAAGTAACTCCCAACCAAAATAATAACGTTCCTACAATCATTGGTTTAGAAGATTTAAAATTTCCGCTAACACGAAAACCCGAGTCTAAACGAATCAAATCTTGCACTATAATGGTTTTTGCAGGCTTCTCAATCAAGGAGTGTTCTAGATAATGTTCCGCGTAACTCAAGGAAATAATAGTTTTTTATGAGCGTGATGTTGGAACGGATGCATCGAAAAAACCTAAATATCTTTGTAAGGAGTTATTTGTTGTAATTTTCGTCGCGAATGATAATTGTTAAACGTGTCCGTTGCGCACAAGAGATACAGCTAAATAAACATACACTTTTCGGGTAAAATCGCACGAAAATCACGCTGAGTTCGTCAAGAAAATCTGAAATCCATTGCTTAGCGTAGAATCTGCCTAGTTCATAACACGCTTTTTCAAGTTTTCCGCTTCTGTGAACGGTTTTCTCAGTAACCGCCGACCAGCTTTGCACAGGCTCAGGAGTAAAAAAGCTAACCTGAATAAACAAACGATTTCACCAGTTTTATGGTATTGTACAATTTCCATAGTTTTCAGGCGTTGTTTCCTTTTTCTTTCCTTACATCGCAAAAAGAAAAGTTTTGAATCAATTGAAATCTTACGCAAGGAGAGTTTATAATAGTTCGCGATATTGCTTGTTTATTCAGTTTCGGTCCCTCTAGGGGAAGGGGGGGGGGGCAAACCTGAGCAAACCTGACTGGCAGCCACTAAGAAAAGCTGCCCACATACGCGTTAACTTTGAAAAAGCTAGTCATAAACTATACGGATTGCTTAGTAAGGAGAGGATTTCAGACGTTTTTGATGGGCCCATCGGGATTTTTCAGCGAATTCACGTTTATGAAGTGTATTCAGTTGGCTGTATCTCTTGCGCACAAGAGACCGATCGGTATTTTATCTAGTGCTCAATCATTGAACGTTGACTGGTCGTGGCTCCGGCTTTGATGCAATGTTTTGTTTTATGTTGCAGCTCGGCGACTCGGGATCAACTGTTGCCATCGTCGAGTTTACAAGAGGACGAGAGCGCGGGCTAGAGTCCAGTGCGGGAACCGGTTTTGGTTTTGGTGACGAACGGCAATGACTCGGTGTTGGGATCGGCGTTTGGTGTGGGGCCGTTGAAGCGGGGGCTTGCTCGGTTCTCTGGGGGTCGGGGTCGGGGTCGGGGGCGGGGGTTGGTATTGGGGGCGGGGCGGAGCCGGGATGCCCGGAGACGGCGACGCTGCGGCTGAGGCTGGCCAAGGAGGGAGGCAAGATTAGGAAGATTTCGGGTTGCAAGTTCTCCAAAGTTGCCACTACGTTGCGGCTGGGGCGACGGGAGTCGGGGGCGGGCTGGAGCTCGGGCGGGCCGGCGGGGAACATGTTCTCCAAGTTCAAGGGCAACCCCCCCAACGCCCCCCAGACGCCTCTCGACAACAACCCTATCCTCCAGTACTTCGACGTCCGCAAGCAGACCGCCAGCGCCGGCCCGGAGCTCATCTGGAAGATCCACGACGGCTACAGGAAGAGTGATGGAAAGGTTCGTCTTCTCTATTACTTTCTTTTTCTCTCCACCTTTTGAGCCTTCACCACGTTAGTAGTCTACGCTCTTTCCCGTCGTTTTGCATTGGGTATGTCACTAATGTATTCATTGATAAAGGCCCGCACTGCTTCATGGGAATCGGCGCCATTTTTCGTGCCGAGAAGCAATACCTTTTTTCTCAATTTTTTTTTTTATGTACCATTTCTACCTTTTTTCTCCTATTTTGTCCACTTTATGTAATGCCTGTAGGCTTGTCTTTGAGGAATTAATATCTTTACGTTTTAAAACTCTGCAACGTACTTTTATTTAATGACTCTTTCAAGGATCGTTCAAATTATTACTCGTCGGAGATCTAAAAAAATTGTTGGGTACAAAGTACCCCTTCACTAGTGACCCCTATATTTTTCTCTCTGAAGACAAGCCATCATTAATATAAACTTCGAAGGATTCTGCCTTTTTCTATTTCACTCGAGGGGAAGTGTCCCCTCCCGGACTCTCTTCCCCACCCGGTGACTGACGCTGCGCTGTGCTGAACGGTTCAGCCTGAACCTTTCCCCTACGTCTGACCGTTCCCCACTCCTGTGTCAATCGAACTATATGCCACCGCTTACGTATTGTCGCTCGCCCACCCAGGTACCTAGCGGCCAGCGGTCAGTTGATGATAAAACTCGCTCATGCTCCTACGCAACTATACGCATTGATTAAGCCAGCTAATTACTTTCGAACAATTAGAATTTCTTCGATAATAGTTTTCTTTATTTATTCGACTATATTTTTTTCTCTGTTCTACTGTGATTTCCTTGGTTCTCTACTGTGTTTTTTCTAAATCTCTTCGGTGTTTTTATTTTATCGTGCTCATGCTCACACGAAGCTGAGCTTAGATTACCGCAAAGGAGTCGTTTTCTTTGTTGTTTTTCTGATTTTTTTTCTCTGTTATACTGAGTTTTTCTTGAATCTCTTCTGCGTTTGTCTGTCTTTTCTTTTTCTTTCTGCTCTGATATTTCTTTTTCTATCCTTTGTTCTCTGAGGATATTTGAGGATATTTTTGATAAAATAATGAATCCAGCTTCAGTTGATGAGGTATTGCAGGACGTGTTGTCTGGCGACACAATTAATTTGTTTTTTGACATTGTGCGTCGTAAGACCAACTTCCGACCTGTGAATGTAAGTTGACGAACCCCGACAGGATCCACAACGACGCCGTGGCAACTCGCAACATTGTTTATTCAGAATTATTATTGTGAAAAAAGGGAAATTTATATTAATACTTACACGGAGAAAAAAACTTCGTGCATGGGACCCGACGTTGAGATCATATGAGTCTCTTAAAACTTGAGGTCCAGCTGCCGAAATTCAGGTCAGAAATCTGAATCACTTCGGTATGCACCGAGTACTTCAGATGTATGACCTGAAACCTTCGATATATACCGAACTACTTCAATTGTCTGACCCGAACTTCGGCAGATGGACCTTAACTTTTCGGATGCGTGATCCGAAAACTTTAGAGATCCATATGATCTCGGCTCCGGGTTCCATGCACAAATTTTTTTTCTCCGTGTTTCCTTTTAGGGGACGCAACTACAATTTCAGTAAATTTTTTTCAGAAAATTAAAAAAAAAAAAGTGGCTAACGATGGTTCCTCACCTTCTCGTGGTGTTGGCTGTTTTTATTAAGTGGGAACCGTCCATTTTAAGAGATAGTCTATTTCTTGCCCTGCCATTATTATTCTACAAGTTAATTGTGGAGTGAGAATTTCATAATGTTTTCTATGAAATCTTCAAAATATAG